TGTTTAGCATGTAATAAAGTTGACAAAATTCATTTTTTTAATTGCTGATTTTTATTTAGTTTTCCTTGTTTAACTGAAGAAATTTCTTCAGTTAAACAAGGAGAAAACTGAAGTTACTTTGACTCTAGGGGTCTAACAACTAAAAATCAAGTCAGGAATCTTGGTGTGATTCTGGAGACAGACCTTAGTTTCAGTAGTCATGTCAAAGCAGTAACTAAATCAGCATACTATCATCTCAAAAACATTGCAAGAATTAGATGTTTTGTTTCCAGTCAAGACTTGGAGAAACTTGTTCATGCCTTTATCACCAGCAGGGTTAACTATTGTAATGGTCTATTCTTAACTGTTTTAAATTCATTTTAATGATTTAATTTTTAAATCATTTTCAAAGTTTTTAAATTCCTTGTTTTATTGTTGTGATTATATATTTTTTTATTATTATTTTCTTTTCTTTTATGTAAAGCACTTTGAATTACCATTGTGTGTGAAATGTGCTATATAAATAAACTTGCCTTGCCTTGCCTTGATGTACTAAAATAACTAAAACTGACCAATAAAATGGCTAATAAAAAATAATAAAATGGCAAAAACACTTGCAAAACAAATGGCAAAAATAAATTAAAATATATATTAAAAAACTTAATCTTGTTTTTTTTAGCTAGGTGCCAAGGCAACATTTTAATTTAGTTTAATTTGATGTAATAAAATCACAAAAACTGAAAAAAAATTATAGATATGAAAAAAAAACCCTAATAAAATGGCTGCTAAAAAAAAAAAAAAACTTGATACACTAAAATAACTAAGACTTTATATATATAGTCTTAGTTATTTTAGTCCTCCTGAAAATTTCTGAATTTGAAAAATAACATTTTTGAAAAATTATATTTTATTAATATGTCATGCTATTTTATGCTTTAAAAAGTCCTGTTTTTTTTTAAATAAAAAGACATAATTAGACAAGAAAAGGCAAAAACAGTGGGATTTTTGTTTTAATCACAAATCAATTTTCTTTTTTTTTTACCAAATTTTATATAAAGATGATTTTCAACTATGTTATGAAAGCTATTTTTAAAGACCATTTTTATTTATGCAAAACGTGTGTAAAATGGCCATTAACGAGTTTTCCCATTACATACAATGTATCTATAAACTGTATCTAATTTGCATATTAATGTGTTTTTGGGGACACATAGAATGAAAAAAATAAGTGCAATAATGGGAGTAATAATTGGCCAGGTTTTAATAATAATATCTAATATTTCATAGGAATATTGATATATAAATTTTTTTCTCTATTCATTTGTTGTGTCTCCCAAAATGTGTAATAAACATGCTTTAAGTCCTGGTGTCCTCTACAGTGGACATGTATGAAATCGATGTCCT